GGACCGCCACCAATTATTTCTATCGTGCGCGTGTCAACTTGCTGTGTCCCGCGGCGTTTTGCGCCGATTTCCTCCACATCGGTCCTCATTCGTCGTGCAAACGCTGTGGTACCGGCTGGGAACATCGTACGAGATTTCTAGTTCGCTTTTATCGAATATCGAACCGTTTAGGGGTTCACGGGATAGGTGGAAAGTTGGACAAGCTGGCCTACACGAACAGAACGGACTGAAGTTACGAGATATACGCAATCATTCGTGTGTTTCATCAGTGAAGCTGCATATTTTTGATACATTTTCTCCTCTTTTTCCTTCGATTCCTTTATGTTGGATAGCAAAAATGGAATCATCCTGAGAACAATGGTTGATACGGTTTAGTAGATCAGGGATGACGATACTTGCAAAGATTCAGAAAATACACAGTACACGAAGAATTTCGCAATTTCGCAAATTCGTTATTCGCTATGAGGATAGAAATGCAAATCATCGTAACAAATTAGTTGCGAAACATTATACAGATAATATTACTAGACGAGTCATTAGACTTGCTTCCGTTTGACACTTCGTATTCATAGGTTTAAATCGCGCGTAATAGTGTCTCAATGGAGGCTGCTATTCGCATGCTAATGTATCGAATCGATAGTAAATTCTGCCAAATGTCACTAAAGACGAATTGCAAAGAATAAATAGCGAATAAAAGAAAAAGAGATTTATTTATAATTTGTGGGAAATATTTAGATACGTCTAAAGAAAAGTTTTAATTTCCTGTTGCTATTCTAACAAAAATGTCGTGTTTTTAATTAGCAAAATTTGATATATTTGGTAGATTCGCTTTTTTTTAATTTATTTAATGTTTGTAAGAAGTATTTGATGATTTCTTGGTGGTTTTGAAGAAGAGTTATGGTTTCTTGTTGCTGTTAATCATTTGAATATTAGTGCCTCTGTTCATTTCCTTTAATCGCTTGGTATATTGGCAGCATCCTGTAACAAACCAAAGTAGAAATTCCGTAAATTCCGTAAAAATACCGCGAAATAGCTATGACAATGAACAAAACGAACAACCGAATATTTCTAAATTTCTATTTAGAATGGAAATTAGAAATTTTTTATAACCAAGATTCTAATACGCGATATATAAGAAAGTGCTAGCCTGATCCAACAAATATATCACAGAAATATATATTGCTGGAGTGCTTTGTACATTAGTACATTAGCACTTGTGGTCACTGTGCTCGCTGCGAAAATAATTAAATACAACCAGTCACCCGTGCCGTTTCGGGCCATACGTCCTACGACATGTTGGATAATCAGAGGAATTGTAAACACGACACTTACCGATCGTTGACCTCTTCATCGTATCAACTTTGGTCGTAGTTCTTTCTTCTTTTCTTGGAACACTTTCGAAACACCCTCGTGATGTCACGCTAATGTCCAAATTTGTTTGGACCGGCATCGAGTAAAAAAAATCATATGTAAAATGCTTCGAACGTGTTCAATTTAGCAGAAGTACGGTAATAATTTAATAGTTAGAAAAATATTTAATGTTCACTAACAATAAAATCAAAAAAAAGAAATGTAAAATATTTATTTAAGTATTAAATAGATAATTCGAAATAAAAAGTAACCGAAATAATTAAATGAATAATTAAAAATTAAAGTAAATGAATTAAGTACATAAATATTTAAATGTAAATAAATAAAACATGAAATAAAGTATTAAAAATTAGAAATAAATAAATAAATTATGAAATATATTATTAAAAATCAAAAGTAAATAAATAAATAATTAAAATAAATTATTAACATATTTAAGTGTTTAAATAAATTAAATGAATAATAAATAAAGTTATTGAAAAATTATTATTAAACAAATATGTTAAAATGAATAATTTATTTGAAAATGTTTGTTAATGTAATAGTTAATGAATAGTTATAGTTATTTACTTAAATTATTTTACCCGGTTCAAGTACCGACATCCGCGATACAACGGCTGAGGAGCAACTGGCGTATACTTGGACTGCCAGGTGTCTATATGGACCGAGGGTAACCTTACCGAGGTCAAACGAAAATTCACGAACTCAACCGATATTTCAAAGATTCGCGAACCTTTTATAATAGCTATTACATAGTTTATTCCAAATATATTCTTCGTATAATTTGCAATAACAATATGTACAGTAATATACATAAGTGCAATTATTCTTTTATGTAAAAAAGCCATTTAATTCCCTGTAACAATAATTTTTAATGTCCAAGTGTTTAAAACAACTTTTTAAAATTAGAAAAAGCGAATAATGGCTAAAAATAATATTAACCAAAAGGATCTTACACCCTATACCCGTCACTTATCCTAAAATAAGCTAAAATTCGTGTGTTTAACAAATTTTATGAATTTTATATCGTTATTTCTTTGCAATCGTTCTATATACCCTTTAACCTAGAATTTATAGCTTTTTTTTAAAACAAATTGGTAAAAAAGAATTTATAACGTTTATGTGTTATATTATGTAATTATATATAAATTATAAATAATTATATATAAATTATTATATATAAATATCATTCTTTTAACAATTAGAATAACAAATATTGATTTTGCTAAACATTTTGACTTTACACTACAAAAATGACTATTAGCTTCGAAATGCAACTATCAATTAAGTAAAGAGAAATAGATGCCTTATGTAATTTGCAGTAACAATATGTACAATAATTTAAACATATACTTTTTACCGTTATTTACAGTTGTTTACGTTGTAATAACGATTATTTTTAAAGTGTAAGTGGATAAAACAATGTTGATCCAGTTTTTAAAGTAAAATTAGACGAAGGAGGTCCTCTGTAGATCCCATTTTAAAGCACTCTTATAAGAAATAATTTATTCCATAATAAACTGAAACTGAATCGCATTATTTGCAAAGTGTACAGTATTAAACCTATTTCTTGAAATATAACAGGTTGTTGTAATTTTTACTTTCACTGATAACAAAAGGAAATGTCAATGAATGATGAAGAATCCAATTTAAATATATTTTGGTTCTGAAAACTTTTTTATTTATATAAAATAAATTGTTGATTTTAATTTTATTAATTTATAACATTTTTACCGAAGAGATTAAGCACCCTTTACTTTATTTTGTTAACAGAAACATATTTGTATTTGCTTTTCATTATTAATATGTATAAGAGGCATCGTTTGATATTCTACATCGATACTTGAGCACATGGTTATTTCAAATATCAAACATCTTCCCGCGACAATAACGCATCTCTTCGAATTGCTGCTACAACGAACATACCGGTAACATCGTGGAATGTTTACGCGCGTAAAACTAAAACTTTCGACGTCTACACGAAACATTTAAGGAAGTAGTGTTATCACTTATCGATATTTCAATTACGGCAATCGACAAAATGTATATTCAAAGAACAATAATGTGCGGTATCGGTTATTAATACATTACATTGCAATTTGAGGTTACGTTTGCACACGTTGTTGGAATATTTATGAGTGGGCTACAGCAAAATATTGAGAAATTAAGAGAACTTTAACAACATCAAGAAATCCAAGTGCACATTTGTTCCATCACAACATATTACATGTTGAGTACAGTGAGGTTAAATAGTGCATGTGTAAAGTGATGTGTGAAATCAAGTGACACAAGTGCAAATCGTAAACACATTACATTCGTCTTATTAGTTTCCAATAGACTTTCTTCTAATTAGAAGATCAATTTCTTTTCGGATTCGAGAGCGCGTTTCCAAAATTTAATGGCGAAAATATCTGTGCCTTGAAGAGATGGATAATGAACACTTGGTAATAGTTAGGAAAAGTAAAGATAAACTAAATATAAAGTTTAAATGTTGCAGTAAGGCAAAAATCTGGGGAAATGTCTATAGAAACTTGGAAACTATAAAAGCAGCAGTATTAATGGGGATGTGGCACATGGACTTGATTGGCCCAATAAAACCAATGTCAAAAGGAGGTGAAAGGTAGGTTTTAACTGTTGATGATTATTCAAGAGTGATTATTGTCTTGCTTGTACAGGAAAAGGGTCAAACAGCTGAGGAAATAAAACGATTGATGGCATTAAATGAAAATCAATCTGTTAAGAAGTTAAAAGGTACTTATATGCTCAGGCAATGGAGGTAAATTTGTGGGTCAATACTTCCAGGTTTGGTTACATCAAAAGGAAATAAAACATGATTTGATTCCAGCCAAAATACAGCAGTGCAATGGAGTTGCTGAGAGGAAAAACAAATCTAGCATACAGATGACAAGGGCACTTATGATGGATTAAGACTTTAAACTTTGGGTGAGTATTATAAGGAGGAATGTGTGTCGGTTGTGCATGTCAGAGCAAAAGAATAAATCAACAGGTTATGTACTGCCAACAGAATGTAGGCCACGTATTTGAGTGTGGAAAACAAAATTCAAGAAGGAAATTGGAAGTATCAATAGATCAAGATGGATATCATATTTAGAAATTTAGAGTGGTCTTCATGCCGTAATCTCAAGGTTTGTATGAACGTACAATGAAGGAACCAAGAAATATAGAAAAGTACAAACAGGATTGGTTAACAAACAATGTATAAGTACAAAATCTGAGAGTTTCAACCAGAGGGGAGGAATGGGTGTATCAATCTTATGTCAAGTCATGAAATATGGATAATATTCAGCAATATCTATGAGAAGAATAAGAACAGCAAAGATATTCCATTACAGAGGAATTTTTCATGTATAAATATAAATTTGAATGTGATATTGTAACCTACATTTTGTGTTAGACAGATAAATTTCCAACTTACATGCATTAGGCAGTAAGATAAGAAAAACAATGCTTATAACTAAAATCTTATGTATGTTTCTAGATTGTGGATTTGCAAATACTTCGGGTTAACACAGAAAGAAGAAAAGCAAATAGATAATCTCAAAACTGAACTGATTGCAAAGGAAGCAAGGGGAAAAGCAGGTCTGTAGCCTCCAAACCTCAAGAGAAGAGATATTTTAAGTATAATTCCATTAGACATCTTGCATATGTATGTTGGAAAAACAACAAAGGTAACAAAGAAATGAAATGTTATAGTTTTGAAAGATTAGAATAAAAATCAGTAAAATTTCTAGGATTAAGAAGAAAAGACGAAACTTAAGAAGTGTACTCTCTCTGTGTTACATGTAAGAAGTCTAATTATTTGGAAAAATCACTTAGATTGTTATTTTAAAAACACGAAGGAAAGGAATGGAGATCAAGATAAAAAAAGGAAAGTGTGCTTCTTGACAGAGAACAATGAAACAGAATAATGGGTTTTGGACTCGAGAACAATGACCCATATGGTTAATAAACTGGAATATTTTAAAAATAGGAAGAAATAATAATGGAAAGTGGAGTAGTGTGAAGAAATATTTCCATGGAAGCTAAAGCGAAAGTTAGAATAGAGTCAGATACTTGAATATTGTTTGTGTTCTACACTTGAGACAGAATTTCTTGTCAGTAAATCTGATAACTGGAGATGGTGGTGAAGTAATGCTCAAGGAAAATGAAGTAATAGTTCATAAAAACAAAGAAGAAATATTTGTAGGGAAGATGTATAATAATGGACTTTATACTAGTAGAGAGGAACAAGAAGCTAGTAGAGAGGCACAAGAAATTGGGGAATCTATGTATAGGGAACATGAAAGAGTTGTCCAAGAAAGTATTAGAAATAAAATTAATCAAAAGAGTACTAAAGACAGGAATTAGAGAACATAGGATGTTTTTGTGAAGCAAAGCAATCGAAGATTCCATTTCAGGGGACGACAACAAGGTTGAAAAGCCAGTTAGAAACAAAACATTCTGATTTATGTGAGCTTATACAGCCAGAGACATAGAACAGAAATGGGTATGTGATGACAATCTTAGATTTTACTAATTTTGTAAGGATTTATGTTATGGAATTAAATAGTAAAGCATTACAGAGATTGTTTAATTGTGTTGCAGCAGCAGAAACAAAGTGGAATAACATACAGATTTAAATGCGTAAACGGAAACAGGAGTTTACCAGCCGAGAATTCAAGAATTGGTGCAGACAGAAAGTAATTATGCTGGATTATCCAACTCTGTACACGTCTCAACTAAATAGAAACACTTAATCGAACATAATTGAATAAAACACGAGAATTCCTGTACGACTGAAATGGAAAAGAAATTGTGGATGGAGGCTGCATACTTTGCAACTTATCTACGGAATAAAAGTTCTGCAACAGCAATGAATACAACGGCATATAGAAAGTGAGTAGGAGAAAGATCTCACATGTGAATTACACGTTTTTTGAGAAACTAATATTCTTCGACATCTGAGAGTAATAGAGCAATTTTGTTTGCAGATTCGTTTCAAGGAAAGTAAACTCTGCAAGAATTACGCAATGAATATTACAGATTAAGATTTGTATTGACAATATAATTGAATAAATGATACAGCATAATCTTTGTACTAAGAGTTTTGTTCATTTCAATACTGGAATTACTAAAGTGGTCTCATGCATAAGATATTGCAAATTTATAGTTGTTCTATCAAAAGTTATTATTGATTTCATTCAGATAGGAAGGTAATTATATATATTTATTTCTTTTATGCATTTGACCCCTTTGGTAATTCTGGATAAATTAATTCCTTTTTTAACTAATTATTTTGTAATAATTATTGCACTGATACCGAAGGCATTGATCGCTCGACAATAATTATTATCCTTTATACAATCAATTCATAAATTCCATGCACACATTATAAAAAGAATATCCTTGGGCATCTTCTCATACATTTTCGTTCACATTGTACTTCTAGTTTTGTCGGTTATTTAATATTTTCTCAAATGATCATAATCATTGATACGAAATCACGTACGCCTTCGATTAATTATTAATAACAAATTAATTAGCATCAAATTATTCTCGGAAATGGCAAAAGAATGTTGCCTATAGTTTCAACTTTGCGATGCAACTATAGAAATTCATGAATTAATTACTCAGACTCAGGTTTCGTTAATTTTCTACTGTCGAATTTATTTATTAAGGTAATAACCGATTCAAATTTAAGCGCCTACGATCAGCGCCATCTATGATTTGGGCTCAAAAATCAAGAAAGTGATAGGAATATAGAATAGGCAAGGAGGTAGGCGGTGAGCAGGTCACGTGACAGACAATGACAGAGCGGGGATAGAAAAGGATAGAATGGCTCCGGCAGTGAAAAATTATTAATTACACAATTTTTGTAATTAATTTGTGAACTTTCATAACTTCAATGCAAAGCTGGAACTTCAGACTACATTCCTGTAAAATTTTCGTAAAGAATTTAACTCTAAATTGTTAGTTATTAATTTTTGTTTGATGGCGTCTATGATTTCGTAACGACGACCATTACAATCTTCCGTGAAAATATTTAATACTAAACGAAACTAGAAGCAAAATGTGATCAAAAGTTATATGAGAAGATTCGCAGAAACATTGTTTTTCTAATGAGTGCATAAAGTTTCATAAATTAATTGCGTAAAGGATAGTAATTAATGAAAAACCAATGGCGTCTTCGACAACAATTCAAACACTCGATAGAATAATAATTAATAATTAATTAATTAGGGACAAGATTATATCGAAAAATATATTGGAAAGGTCTTGAAGGATCTGGCTTTACGATGCAATTATAAAAGTTCATAAATTAATCCCGGGAATTGAGTAATTAATTAATCATTTAATAAAAATTCAAAAAGGAACAGTCAGCGCCGCCTATAGATTTATACTGGAACTAACAGAGCACAAGCTTCCAGGTAAAAATCATAGGTGGCGCTGACTGTTCCTTTTTGAATTTTTATTAAATGATTAATTAATTACTCAATTCCCGGGATTAATTTATGAACTTTTATAATTGCATCGTAAAGCCAGATCCTTCAAGACCTTTCCAATATATTTTTCGATATAATCTTGTCCCTAATTAATTAATTATTAATTATTATTCTATCGAGTGTTTGAATTGTTGTCGAAGACGCCATTGGTTTTTCATTAATTACTATCCTTTACGCAATTAATTTATGAAACTTTATGCACTCATTAGAAAAACAATGTTTCTGCGAATCTTCTCATATAACTTTTGATCACATTTTGCTTCTAGTTTCGTTTAGTATTAAATATTTTCACGGAAGATTGTAATGGTCGTCGTTACGAAATCATAGACGCCATCAAACAAAAATTAATAACTAACAATTTAGAGTTAAATTCTTTACGAAAATTTTACAGGAATGTAGTCTGAAGTTCCAGCTTTGCATTGAAGTTATGAAAGTTCACAAATTAATTACAAAAATTGTGTAATTAATAATTTTTCACTGCCGGAGCCATTCTATCCTTTTCTATCCCCGCTCTGTCATTGTCTGTCACGTGACCTGCTCACCGCCTACCTCCTTGCCTATTCTATATTCCTATCACTTTCTTGATTTTTGAGCCCAAATCATAGATGGCGCTGATCGTAGGCGCTTAAATTTGAATCGGTTATTACCTTAATAAATAAATTCGACAGTAGAAAATTAACGAAACCTGAGTCTGAGTAATTAATTCATGAATTTCTATAGTTGCATCGCAAAGTTGAAACTATAGGCAACATTCTTTTGCCATTTCCGAGAATAATTTGATGCTAATTAATTTGTTATTAATAATTAATCGAAGGCGTACGTGATTTCGTATCAATGATTATGATCATTTGAGAAAATATTAAATAATGGACAAAACTAGAAGTACAATGTGAACGAAAATGTATGAGAAGATGCCCAAGGATATTCTTTTTATAATGTGTGCATGGAATTTATGAATTGATTGTATAAAGGATAATAATTATTGCCAAACGATCAATGCCTTCGGTATCAGTGCAATAATTATTACAAAATAATTAATTAAAAAAGGAATTAATTTATCCAGAATTACCAAAGGGGTCAAATGCATAAAAGAAATAAATATATATAATTACCTTCCTATCTGTATGAAATCAATAATAACTTTTGATAGAACAACTATAAATTTACAATATCTTATGCATGAGGCCAATTTAGTAATTCCAGTATTGAAATGAACAAAACTCTTAGTACAAAGATTATGCTGTATCATTTATTCAATTATATTGTCAATACAAATCTTAATCTGTAATATTCATTGCGTAATTCTTGCAGAGTTTACTTTCCTTGAAACGAATCTGCAAACAAAATTGCTCTATTACTCTCAGATGTCGAAGAATATTAGTTTCTCAAAAAACGTGTAATTCACATGTGAGATCTTTCTCCTACTCACTTTCTATATGCCGTTGTATTCATTGCTGTTGCAGAACTTTTATTCCGTAGATAAGTTGCAAAGTATGCAGCCTCCATCCACAATTTCTTTTCCATTTCAGTCGTACAGGAATTCTCGTGTTTTATTCAATTATGTTCGATTAAGTGTTTCTATTTAGTTGAGACGTGTACAGAGTTGGATAATCCAGCATAATTACTTTCTGTCTGCACCAATTCTTGAATTCTCGGCTGGTAAACTCCTGTTTCCGTTTACGCATTTAAATCTGTATGTTATTCCACTTTGTTTCTGCTGCTGCAACACAATTAAACAATCTCTGTAATGCTTTACTATTTAATTCCATAACATAAATCCTTACAAAATTAGTAAAATCTAAGATTGTCATCACATACCCATTTCTGTTCTATGTCTCTGGCTGTATAAGCTCACATAAATCAGAATGTTTTGTTTCTAACTGGCTTTTCAACCTTGTTGTCGTCCCCTGAAATGGAATCTTCGATTGCTTTGCTTCACAAAAACATCCTATGTTCTCTAATTCCTGTCTTTAGTACTCTTTTGATTAATTTTATTTCTAATACTTTCTTGGACAACTCTTTCATGTTCCCTATACATAGATTCCCCAATTTCTTGTGCCTCTCTACTAGCTTCTTGTTCCTCTCTACTAGTATAAAGTCCATTATTATACATCTTCCCTACAAATATTTCTTCTTTGTTTTTATGAACTATTACTTCATTTTCCTTGAGCATTACTTCACCACCATCTCCAGTTATCAGATTTACTGACAAGAAATTCTGTCTCAAGTGTAGAACACAAACAATATTCAAGTATCTGACTCTATTCTAACTTTCGCTTTAGCTTCCATGGAAATATTTCTTCACACTACTCCACTTTCCATTATTATTTCTTCCTATTTTTAAAATATTCCAGTTTATTAACCATATGGGTCATTGTTCTCGAGTCCAAAACCCATTATTCTGTTTCATTGTTCTCTGTCAAGAAGCACACTTTCCTTTTTTTATCTTGATCTCCATTCCTTTCCTTCGTGTTTTTAAAATAACAATCTAAGTGATTTTTCCAAATAATTAGACTTCTTACATGTAACACAGAGAGAGTACACTTCTTAAGTTTCGTCTTTTCTTCTTAATCCTAGAAATTTTACTGATTTTTATTCTAATCTTTCAAAACTATAACATTTCATTTCTTTGTTACCTTTGTTGTTTTTCCAACATACATATGCAAGATGTCTAATGGAATTATACTTAAAATATCTCTTCTCTTGAGGTTTGGAGGCTACAGACCTGCTTTTCCCCTTGCTTCCTTTGCAATCAGTTCAGTCTTGAGATTATCTATTCTCTTTTCTTCTTTCTGCATTAACTCCCACGCATTTGCAAATACACGTTCTAGAAACATACGTACATAAGATTTCAGTTATAAGCATCGTTTTTTCTATATTACACCGTAATGTATGTAATTTGAAAACTTACCTGTTAATTACGCAATGTGGATTACAATATCATGTTCAAATTTATATTTATACGTGAAAAATTCCTCTGTAACGGATTGTCTTTGCTGTTCTTATCCTTTTCATAGATATTGCTGAATGTTTCCCATATTTCATGACTTGACGTAAAGTTGATACACAAATTCCTCTCCTCTGGTTGAAACTATCAGATTTGTACCTACACATTGTTTGTTAACCAAACCTGTTTGTACTTTTCTATATTTCTTGATTCTTTCATTGCACGTTCATATAAATCTTGAGGTTACAGCATGAAGATCACTCTAAATTTCTAAATATGTTATCCATCTTGATCCTTTCCGAATCCGAATCCAACATTGAAATTTCGGAGAACTAAACCACAGGAGATAACAACGGAGTACGAACTGTCACACACTTCTACTTTCGGCACTGTATTTAGAAGAAAAACAGCGAAAATCGAAAATAAACCACTGAGTCTATTAGAGAAGAGTCCGTTCTATCGAGTGATAATGAAAAATCAAAATCAAAAATCGAAGTTTCAGAGAGCTAAGCCACGAGAGATAACGACGCAGTACGACGGGCCACGCCCTTCCACTTTCGACACTGTATTTAGAAGAAAAACGGCGAAAATCGAAAAAAAACCACTGATTCTATTAGAGAAGAGCCCGTTCTATCGAGTGACTATGAAAAATTAAACTCAAAAACAGAAGTTTCAGAGAGCTAAGCCACGAGAGATAACAACGGAGTACGAACTGCCACGCACTTCTACTTTCGGCACTGTATTTAGAAGAAAAACAGCGAAAATCGAAAATAAACCACTGAGTCTATTAGAGAAGAGCCCGTTCTATCGAGTGATTATGAAAAATCAAAATCAAAAATCGAAGTTTCAGAGAGCTAAGCCACGAGAGATAACGACGCAGTACGACCTGCCACGCCCTTCCACTTTCGGCACTGTATTTAGAAGAAAAACGGCGAAAATCGAAAAAAAAACACTGATTCTATTAGAGAAGAGCCCGTTCTATCGAGTGATTATGAAAAATCAAAATCAAAAATCGAAGTTTCAGAGAGCTAAGCCACGAGAGATAACGACGCAGTACGACGTGCCACGCCCTTCCACTTTCGGCACTGCATTTAGAAGAAAAACGGCGAAAATCGAAAAAAAACCACTAATTCTATTAGAGAAGAGCCCGTTCTATCGAGTGATAATGACAAATCAAAATCAAAAATCGAAGTTTCAGAGAGCTAAGCCACGAGACATAACGACGCAGTACGACCTGCCACGCCCTTCCACTTTCGGCACTGTATTTAGAAGAAAAACGGCGAAAGTCGAAAAAAACCCACTGATTCTATTAGAGAAGAGCCCGTTCTATCGAGTGATAATGAAAAATTAAAATCAAAAATCGAAGTTTCAGAGAGCTAAGCCACAAGAGATAACGACGCAGTACGACCTGCCACGCCCTTCCACTTTCGGCACTGTATTTAGTAGAAAAACGGCGAAAATCGAAAAAAAACCACTGATTGTATTAGAGAAGAGCCCGTTCTATCGAGTGATAATGACAAATCAAAATCAAAAATCGAAGTTTCAGAGAGCTAAGCCACAAGAGATAACGACGCAGTACGACCTGCCACGCCCTTCCACTTTCGGCACTGTATTTAGTAGAAAAACGGCGAAAATTGAAAAAAAACCGCTAATTCTATTAGAGAAGAGCCCGTTCTATCGAGTGATAATGAAAAATCAAAATCAAAAATCGAAGTTTCCGAGAGCTAAGCCACGAGAGATAACGACGCAGTACAACCTGCCACGCCCTTCCACTTTCGGCATTGTATTTAGAAGAAAAGCGGCGAAAATCGAAAAAAAACCACTGATTCTATTAGAGAAGGTTTACTTCTATCAAGTGATAATAAAATGTCCGAATCCAAAATTGATATTTCGGAGAACTAAGCCACTAGATATAACAACGGAGTACGACCTGCCACGCCCTTCTACTTTCGAGACTCTATTTCGTAAGAAAACGACGAAAATCGAGAAAAGATACATCTTCTGATTAGAGGAGGGTCTACTGTGATGAGTCACAATAAAATATTCTAATACGGAACAGGAATTTTATGTATCTAAGCGAAGAAAGGTAACGGGGTAATTCGATTTTACACGCACTCACACTTTCGTTACTATACGTCGAAAATGAACTGTTCAAATCGGAAGGAAATTGGCCTACTGATCAGGAAACATTCTACTCTAACGAGTCATATCAAAATATGGCAATGCAAGATCTTAATTTCCAATATCTAAACAATAACGATAACACGTAACAACACATCACATTTTGATATACACTTGCACTTGCATCACTTTATATCACACACGTACCGTCGAAATCGAAGAAAGAATAAGAAGAAACTGCATCTGCCGATTAATGCTAACCAATATCCCAGTAGACGATCGAGTTCTGGAATCTACAATCGATGACTCGTGACTATTCTGTTCTCTTATATGATTCACACTTACACTAATTCATGTCGCACATGTATGCGTAGACGAGATTGGTCCTTTCGTAAATATCGCGAACATGTAACTAAAGTTGTTCAATGTTTCGAAAGAATAACTGATACTGCGCATTATCGTTGAATATTTATTTCGTCAGTTACAGTAATTAAAACAATAATCAATGATGGAACTACTGTACGAAACGTATTGTTTCGACACTGAAACTTTTACTTTAAGGCGCGTAACATTTGTCCATGGTTACCGGCATGATGTATTCGCGTCGACTAAAAGTGAGCTGCAATTGGATAAGCTATGCTTGTTTTCGCGGGAAAATGCTTCGTGTCTGAGATAGCCATCTACTAAAGTATCAATGTAGAATATCAAACGATTTCTTATATGTATTAATAACAATGATACAAATTCAAATATGTTTCTGTTATGAAAATAATAAATTAAGAAGTACTTATTTTCCATTATAGAAAACTTATAAATTAATAAAATTAATTATTAAATTAATTATAAAAATATATTGTATAGTAATATATAATATATATATGTATTAGTTACAAAATTTGATACATGAGTAGTATGACCATTTTTATTGAACATAGTTTTCATAAATTCTGCGAATGCACGATTAATAACGTGTGAAAGCATTCTGAGTTATATAATGTGTATATATGAGTTATGTAAATTCTTAAAATTTGTTAAAAAGTTTGCTTTTTGTAACTTTAAAATGTTGTTTCAAACACTTATGCATTAAAAACTATTGTTACGAAGAAGTAAATGGCACTTTTATATTGTTTTTATGTGTGCATGTAATTCATGAATTAATTGCATAGAAGTTAGTAATTAATGGAGAATCAATAGCATCTTCGGTATGAGTTCATGTCCTCTGTGCAATAATTATTAATAATTAATTAATTAATTGAGGAAAAATTTATAAATGCACAAATTATTGGAAATATATTTGCTTCTGACAATATTTAGTTTACATTTCATTCAGATATTAATTATATATACTTATTTATTTTATGCTTTTGACCTTTTTAGTAATTCTAGTGTTAAACTGAACCATATTCTTCAGTTGTACAAAGATTATGCTGTATCATTTATTCAATTACATTGTCAATACAAATCTTAATCAGTAATATTCATTGGGTAATTCTTGTAGAGTTTACTTTCCTTGAAACAAATCTGCAAACAAAATTGCTCTATTACTCTCAGATTTCGAAGAATATTGGTTTCTCAAAAAACGTGTAATTCATATGTAAGATCTTTCTCCTACTCACTTTTTATATGCTGTTGTATTCATTATTGTTACAGAATTTTTATTCTGTAGATAAGTTGCAAAATACACAGTTTTCATCCACAATTTCTTTTCTAGTCGTACAGGAGTGCTCATGTGTTATCCAGTAATGTTTGATTAAACCTTTCCATTCATCTGAGGTGTTTACAGTGTCGTATAATCCAGTATAATTACTTTCTGTCTGTAACAATGTTTGTTTTCTAGACTGATAAACACATCTCCCTCCATTACAGCATCTAAATCTGTGTGTTATTCCACTTTTCTCTTGCTGCTGCAACATAATTAAACAATCTCTGTAATGCTTCAGTATATGATTCCATAAAATATATCATCACAAAATTAGTAAAATCTAAAACTGTCATTGCGTACCTATTTTTATCCCATATCTCTGACTATATAAGCTCACAAATCAGAATGTATAATTTTAAACTGCTTTCTTGCCTATGTTCTCATCTCTCAAAATGGTGTCCTCAATTGTTTTGCATAGAAAAAGTATTCTGTATTCTCTAAAATATTCTAGTTTATTAACCATATAGTTCATTGGTCTCAAGTCCACAATCCATTAGTCTGTTACATTGCTCTTTGAAAAGAAGCAGACTTTCTTTTATTATCTTGATATCTTTTTCTTTCCATCATGCTTTTAAAATAACAATCTAAATGATTTTTTTCCAAATAATTAGACTTTTCACATATCCCACACAGAGAGTACACTTCTTAAGTCTTGTCTTTTCTTCCTAATCCTAGAAATTTTTCTGATTTTTATCTCAATCTTTCAAAACTGAAGCATTTAATTTCTTTATTACCTTTATTGTTTCCCCAACATACAAGTGCAAGATGTGTAGTGGAGTTATACTTGAAACACCTTTTCTCCTGAGCTTTGAAGACTATAGATTCATTTTGATCTGCTTTTCCCCTTGCTTGCTTGGCAATCTGTTGAAATGTGAAATTATCTATTCTTTTCTGTTCTTTCTGATTACCTTCCACATACTTGCAAATAGACGATACCTGTGTGGCAATATGGTTACGATTTTAATTATAAGCATTGTTTTTTGTATCTTACTTTCTAATGCATGTAATTTGAAAACTTACCTGTCAGCCATGCAATGTGAGTTATTATATTATGTACAATTTTAGATTTATGCATGAAAAATTCCTCTTTAGCAAAATATCTTTGCCATTCTGTATCCTTCTCATGGATATTGTTTAATTTTACCCATATCTCATGACTTGAGATACAGGTTGGTACATGAATTAATAATACCTCTCCTATGGTTGAAAATATCAGATTTTGTAATAACACATTGCTTGTTAACCAATCCCGTTCATAGTTTTCTGTATTTCTTAATTCTTTCATTATATGTCCATACAAACCTCGAGATCGCAGTACAAGGTCCACACTAAATTTTCAAGTATGATATCCATCTCCATCCTTTCATCTATTGATACTTCCAGTATCCTTCATGAATTTTGTTTCCCATACTCAAACATGTGGTCTGCACTCTGGGTCCATAACCTGTTGATTTATTTTTCTATTTAAAACATACACAACTCACACACATTCCACTTTACATTACTCACCCAAGATCTTCTGTTGTTTTCATCGCTGCCACAATCTCACGTCATTCTTTCCAGTTACGGATTAATTCGCCATTTACAGTCGAAAATATCCATTACACAATTACCGTCCAATAATAACATGTATCGGGAGCATATAACCAAAGTTACTAACCGATTCAAATTCAAGCGTCTTCGATTAGCGCCATCTATGAGTTTGGACTGGAACCTTGAACCTTTGTTGTCGTTTGAATTCTCATTCGGTATTAGAAAATTAATAAGTTACTCGATTTCTGCGATTAATTTATGAACTTTTATAATTTCATCGTATAGGCACAGCCTTGGCGAACTTTCTAATATGACTTTTGATATAAATTTGTCTCTAATTAATTAATTATTAATTATTATTCTATCGAGTGTTTGAATTGTTGTCGAAGTCGCCATTGGTTTTTCATTAATTACTATCTTTTATGCAATTAATTTATGAATTAGATGAACACAGAATGAAGAGAATATCCTTAGGCATCTTCTCATATAACTTTTGTTCACATTTTATTTCTAGATTTATTCATTATTTAATATTTTCTCGAAAGATTATCCTGGTCAATGTTACGAAATCATGAACGCCATAAAATAATTATTAATAGCAAGCTAATTAGCAACAAATTGTTATCGAATCTTACATAGGAATGTTGCCAATAGTTCCAGCTTTACGATGCAATTATAAAAGTTCATAGATTAATTACAGAAACTTGGTAATTTGTAATTTTTCCCTGCCAAGTCCATTCTATCCTTTTCTAACCGCTTTCTGTCCTTGTCTGTCACGTGACCAGGTATAGACGACTTCCTTGCACATTCTATATTCCTATTACTTTTGTGAGCGTTTGGTCCAAAATCATAGTTGGCGTTGACCGAGTGTCGCTCCAATTCTATTATCCTTGACTTACTTATTGATGGAATCAGTGCCGTAGCAACAGGTTGTATTAGGGGTATATTGACTTTATTTAATAACAAGATTTGAACTATGTTGATATTTTAATGAACATATCAAACTTCTTTTTTTTTTAATTTTTTGCTATTTTTACCACACCATAAAAGAACGTATAGTAATTATACGTATACCATATTTACTATTATATTTGGCAGTTTATCTTCGCTAATAATACGTTTATTATTAGTTAATATATTACTGATTATTTAAAATTTAAACGAACATCGTAACAATGAATAAATGATACCATTGTAAATGCAAGCAAGAGATACACATACACTTATGTCGTTTATCTGTAAAGTTAGAATGTATTTTTCTTTGCGTAGCAGTTATATGTTAGCTCCGTTGCACTTGATACTCGGATTATGTGTAGCTACGATACTGTCGAGGCTCGGCAAGCGGGTAGTGGCTGCAAGGCGGTAAATCGTCGTATAGGTGTTACTTGACGAATGTTTTCTCCGTCTAGTCGAATTGCAAGCTGCTTCTACAATTCTGTTGTAGGAACGACTAGTAGAGGAATATCTACAGGATACGATATCGTATAGCAAATTCGTATCGAATAAAAAACTTTTTATTGAAATGCAAGAATAGTACGCCAAATACACGCTCGTTGGCTTATTTTTAAACTTTGATGACCAAGTATAGTTATTCAAACTTACGAATAATTATAATTATTAACATTGATAAACTCCAGATACTCTCACCTAAATTTTAACGTAAGGATCAACCTCCTAACTTTTTTATTTTTCGTGTAATCCTTCACTTTATTCGAAAATCGTGCTGCTTTAGTAAGACTAATATTTTTCTGGAAACTAACCTCTACAAAATTCGTCAATGGATATTACAGATATGTGACAGAGGTAAAATTTGTTAGATAGTGTTATTATTGGAAAAAGGGAGCTCTCAAATGATGTCAACGGGGGAATGAAATGAACGACAGTAATTTGTGATGAACCAACTGCGGATGATTTAATTTTGGGCATGTTGATACACTCAACACGTTGTATTGCATTTATTACACAGGTAAAATTCGCTTAATGCTGCTTTGTATTGTTATCGTTCGCTATGTAATTAGTATTTGACAGATATTAAATAAAAACGCGTGTTGGGTATGTATCGCAGAACGTTGGGTACATTAATAATTTTGTTCACTTTGGATAATGTAGGGGTATCCATGAAGACCAAGAATAAACTGCAGGAAGTTGAAAATGACTTCTATTCACATCTTCGAAAGTGAATGCATTTATCGTCGATGTCTTATTTTCTGCGTTCGAAGAATTGGGAGTGTTACGAATTGGCACTTCGAGATCATGAGAGTGCTCGTGAGATCGTAAGTTAGTAATGGTAGAAAATTGTTTTCTGCATATGTTACAACGGTACGGGCGATTTCCTGAAAAGAAATCGATAACTCTATTGGTGTTTTATTTCATAAAGTAACAGTTAACTCGATATTTTCGATGTATATTGAAAGCACTGGGTAAAGTTAAAAAATACCACGAAATAACCTATAGATTTTGCATTACTAAAATATGTCTTATCCTGATATTTTTATAAATAAATTCAAATTCTTTTTTTGCCTCGATTCCAAAAGATGCAACAAAGTGTCAATGATCCATCAATTAGCATTCTTCGTGATATTTAATTGATATTAATTACCAGTGTGCACTTGCATGTGATGATGTAAAGCTCCAGGCTTACAGAATCCCCGATTGCAAACGGAACATCGCATCGGCCAATTACCACTATGGGAATACCCATGGGCCCTTAAATCACCCGGAGTTGGAAAAGAACGACCGCATTCGTTGCATTTATGGGGTTTCTCCTACGCATATTTTACTATCACTGTCGTATATTAGCAAATTAAATATCAAGTTTAAGTGTCGCATAGTCGTAATCGTACGGTACCGTTCGCAAAGAAAGGCACCAGACTTATAACACCTGGTATTTTCTGCATTCAAAGGAATAGAGCGTAAGTTATTAAGATATTAAATGTTAATAAAAACCTTGTAATGTGTCATTCGATGGTAATACAAATTTGACGATGCAGTGAAGCGCTTGCCGCAAATGGGACATTCGTGTGGCCGTTCTCCAGTGTGTATTCTGACATGAGTGTTCAATGAGCTACTCGTACTGAACATTTTTCCACACACGTCGCAACCATGCGGTTTTTCACCTGTCAATTTGTATCATTTATCGCTGAATCTACTGCAACGTTTACTGTCTTAAAAATCGTTTAAAAATCACGAAAATTTTCCTAGATTAAGATAATAACGTTACCGTAAATGATTACCATTTGAACAAATTTCAACTTACTTGAATTCTCGTTTAATCGTGAGTTTGATAGGGCATCGTAAATAAATGAATTTGTCACGATAACAATGAAGCAATAACATAAATTTAGGTATACTAACCTGTGTGAGTTCTCAGATGCCTCTTGAGCAACGAGGGCCTGTCAAAATTCTTGCCACACGTCTGACAGGGTAAACATCTTTGAAACTTGGACGAGTTGAACAAATTCGTTCGTTTGTCGGAACTACGGCAGCTCAAATCTAATGGCGCGTCTTGCACCACGCTGCACACTGGTTACGATTTAACAGTAAAATAATTATAGATGAGACACAATTTACTTGGGAACGTGCATCTTAAGAAACTAAGAAGCAAAACTTATTTCGATCATGTGCGGTACATCTGCACAGCTTAAAAACGTAACTTAAACGGTTCACCAAAAGTCAAGAAGGCCGATATCGAGAATTTTCTTACTCGTTAAAAAGCTCAAAATAGTAACTGATCGAAGAATGTTATTTATTTAATTACATTCGACTCTTACCGGACATTACAAAACTCCCTTTGCGATTTTTAAACAAGGCGATATTCTAAGAAATATCACGAGTACCGTCGACGCTAAAATTTCACGCACCTCACTAATGTATCCAAACATGAGGAAGGATAAGTTCGAATTAGATGCTTACTACCCCAAACAGATTATGCAAGCGATTACAGGTGAGAAAGAGGGTTGTGACGCCGAGGGCGCATGTCGGAGGGCGGTATTTTTTCCCGAGGGCGGAGTTTGATACACCTTTTCATAATACACAGCATCACGATGATGCAAGATATTTCTAAATATCTTCTATCGAACTGTATTTAATACACGCAGACGTATAAGCGTGCAAGAAACTGCAATTTAACTCTTTGAACCTGGAGAACGTCGAATAAAATGGTACGTTATTCGGGCCAATTGCTACATCGAAATCTTCTTAGAGACATATTTTTGATAAATTTTGTACTTGTATATTTTTGTCTATTGCCTACAATTACCAGTAATCGCCACGGGTCTCTTTAGAGCGTATACAGCGAACACGAGATATGGCATGAATGCTCCGCAAAAATTTGCTATTATTTTTGAAAGATAAAAACTTTATCTGACTCTGGTTACAGGATAAAATTCGTACGAATCGAAGATGACGTGAAACTTTCTATGTTCATAAGAGGAATACTATGCTATAGTTAATAGCATACTGTCATCCCATATTGTGCCCCCTATTATTCTATAGTGCCAACCGGTACCAAGGATGTTAGAATGGCACCTCATTCTCACATAAAGTAAAAGTCATGGGAGTCATTTCCTGCAATAAGTAATTTTTTTAAGTACCTAGATCTCTGACTCTGAAATTCAAAATATTTCCTTCAATTTTTCTTACCCGATAATTCTTTTTACAGAAAAAGAAAATTTATTCTATCCTGAAAAGACCTGAAAGACCTGAAAGTCGAATTTATAAATCCGTTTTCGACGAATCCTAATTTCATAATTAATCGAGGGGATTATATTTCAACTGCATACCGATCTTTTTATAATAAATTATAATAAATTATTTTTTGTCAATTACGATGTTTACTATAACAGCTGTGCATTAGTAATAATTTCGATAATTCCATTTATAAGTATTTATTATGAAAAAATCCTGTATCATGAGATAAGCCTTTTAAACTGAAATAAAGCTTAATTATCTCGATAGAACGATACGTTTTTCAGCAGTAACGCTTCGTCACGATATTGGCGATTTTTCACAGTATTCAACCGGAGGTGAGATAATTTGTCGTATGGCATCGGAACGCCGGACGTCCCGCGGCGTCATTCCCTCGTTTGTCACCTGAGAGGATATTAACGCTATAGAAGTCTCCTTGGAATCATTACAAATCGCTTCTTCATCGACCACACGTGACAATACCTCGATTTATGCTATGTATATTGCAATATTATCGTAAAAGATCGATTTCACAGATGCTCCCTACGTATTTTAGACTTTAAAGCGGATACCACGTTTTTACGTCTACAAAATGCAGATGGATTTTTCAAAAATTAGACCAAAGTTATTTTAAACTTTATTATAAATGATACATTATAAGTGATTATATTGCTTATTATGTAGATATATGATAAATAAAAATATCATTTTCATGTCGCAGTTAATACAGCGATTTTTATTAACGAGAATGAAATTGAAGAGCTAAAAAACAACCAAAGCATGATACAGTTTTATTTCAAATGAAAGTAAGAGATATTTCCTTGAACTTTTAACTAAACATTCTTATTGCTTATATAGATAAAATGAAAGTAAAATAAATGTCACTGAATAATAATTTGATTATAACTTGAATGTTATACATTTGAGATTATGTACAGTGATATTATTTTAGATTTTATTTACTCGTACAAATAAGATATCACAGCTTTATATTGCACCGGACTCTTCCATTTTGTCATCTTTTGTTTCTTGTTCTTGAACTTCGGAATGTTTCTCGGCATTGCTAGATTTATCATCATTTTCCGTATTATTTTCACTTTCCGTAGGATTAGTTGAAGTATTTGATTTTTCTACTTCTGCATTACATGCAGCAAATTGAGCAGCCTGTGCTTGTGGAGAAGTATCAGATTTTAAAATTTCACGTAATGCCATAGTCGCATATGTAGAAGATTTTAATGACATTTCTATTATTAAAGCTTTGTATTGGCCCTCTAAAAAATTAAAAAATTTCATAATCGTTTGTTGACTTCTGATAAAAATTAAAATATTTTAATAGTATAGAAAAATGTTGAAAAAATAAGCAAAATACGGATAAAATGTTATACCAGGATCATCTTTTGGAGCTGGTGATTTTCTCATTTCATCAATATCGCTCATAATAAGATCGCTATGTTTCTCTGTGTAATGCATAATATTCCAAGATAAATTTGAAGGAATTTGCAGTATATTTCGATAAGTACCTCCTAAATTATATTTTCTGAAACGAAGTAAATGTTATAAAATATAAAAAATTTATACTTAAATTACTTAAATTAAGATAATATAGTTAACAGATATTTAAAGTTCATCCTTAATAACTTACTTATTCTTCTGTTTAAGATCAGTAGTTAATCCATCTTTTGCTAAAAACTCATTGAACCATGATTTGGCATAAGGCGGATATGTGACTTTCCAGCCAACCTGAGGCATTAATACATCTGCTAAAGCATAATTTGACAAATCTTCTTCTTTAAGAATTTTTACTGTGGGAAGATTATGTAAATCTTTGTTCTCATCTTTCTCGTTAATAGTGTTAGTTTGCTCCGCATTCTCGTCTATTTTAAGACAACATTCTGTAGCATCTGTTACTTCTTTAATCAAAGTATTTGATGATTCTTCTAATATTTTAGAAGATTCCTCCATTTTTACATCTACAGCTGTTTCACTTTCAAGTTTACTTATTTTTTTATTAGGCTCCATAGTATCTTCACTTGCTAATTCATTTTCGTTATCATAAACAAATTCTTCTTCATTATCACTGTGTTTTGTATTATTTTCATACACTAAATCCCCTACTATAGGATTCCTTCCAAATTCTCTTATTCTTCTTGATACCATATGATTCCATACAAAGCTTTGATATGCATGAATATACATTAAGCGAGCATTTCTTGGTATTGAATCTAAAGCACCCTGAGGATTATTATTACCAGCTATACTAAGGCCCTTTAGAAGTGTAGCTTCTATTTTATCATATCTTTTAATTATATTATATGCAGCATGTGCATCTTTAGTTTTTTCATATACTTTTCGCGCTTCGACTAGATCTTTATCTTGTTCACCTTCTCTAGGCTTTAAAATTAATTCAATTGCTTCATTCCATTTACCTATTTTCATAATATACACAAAGTATAGCAAACAAATTCTATATGGAAGTAATATAATAAAGAGAATTCTATACAGAAGTAAGTAGAGAAATTAAATTATTATTATGCAAATTAAATAAAAAAAATTACCTTGAAGTAAAGCTTTGCCTATTTCATATGTAGGAATAGCAACTACAGTACCAAATCGTTGCAAACCATAATAGTTTATAAATCCATGATCCCTCAAAGAAGTCATTGTTTTTTCAATTTCTTCATCTGTTCCACTAATATTTCTTAAAGCAATTCTGAAGTGATTACCAATCAACATCCCTAATTTCAAAGACTCTGACTCAAATTTAAAATTTCCTACATATGCTCCACGTACATTGTTTGCAGCCCGTAATATATTTGTAGGTGCAACTTTTCTCACGCTAACCCACTGAGTGGTCCATGCCCTACGATCCTTTGTTCCAGCATAACTGAAATTATTTGGCTTCAAACGTAAATTCATGGCTAATTGATTCAAAGCATCCATTGTATCCATATTCACTTTATGTAACACAAAATAACAAAATTCTTCTTCTTTTTTCCAATTTATCCTGTCATCTTTTCGAAAATTACTATCTAAAATCACAGAGTATTATATTAATATAAATCAATATATTTTAAGTTAGAAATAAATATCTAACATACTGGCAATAACATGTTTTTTATTTGGCAAAATCACCATGACCTTCTTATCTGTTTTATCTATAGTTTGGCTAATAACATTCCTCATTGTATTAGCAATTCTATGAATTGCTCTACGTTGAGTTTTATCTATATTTGTTACATCAATTTCTATAACAGATTCTTTTGATTCTTTCAAACACTGTAACTGATCCCAAATTGTATCTGATATCATTTTTCTTAGATCTTCTATATTTTCCTTTTTATCTGATGGAATGTCTTGATTTGTTAATTTAGCTATTTGTCCATCAAGAGCAATTTCATTAACATGAAAATCTGTATATCTTTCTTTAATAACACCAAAAAATCCTCCATTTCCTATAAATTCTGTGATACCAACGTCACATTCTTTTAGCCGATTTCCAACTTCCAATTTCTTTCTTTTCCCATCTAGTTGAAAATTTGACCAGTTACGTTTAAACGGTTTCTTGCCAAAATTATCACTTCTAAATCCTATAAAGAAAATTCCATAAATAAAAGAATCTGTTAATTTTCATAAAATCATTATTATAAATGTTCTTATCTCAAAATCTTACCACTATTGAATGAACCTCTATTTTTTTTATAATCATTATTTGATCGATAATCTTTCCTGTAATCTTTTTGATATCTATTACGTTTATATTCCTGTCCAGATTCTTCTTTAACGTTACAGTGTTTAATACTGTTTTCAGAACCACTATTTTTATTTGTAGTTTCAGACATTATATTTAACTTATGAAACTTTTATAAATTTTATTTTTTCAATTAAGAATTCTGTTCGGTTTCTTAAGTTTGTAAAATAATTAATTCAACCTAATTAAGATCGAAGGCAAGTTATTATTTACAGGATAGTAACCTGACGGATGACACGTGTTTTAAAGCAGTGCATCTCAACCAAAAATAGATCTCAAATGTTTTATGTATTTTGTTATTTTTTGAAGAATTATATATTAGAAAAAAGATTATTGTAAAAAAAATACATTGTTCAATTCAAATTTAGGTATTAAATATAGAAAAATAAAATTGCAAACAAATATACTGTAAGTAGCATATCATAATAATAGTAATATAGTACTATATACCACTATAAATAAATATAGTAAAATGAAATTATTTTTATAAAATAATGTATTACAATAAAAACATTTTATTTTACATATTAGCCTTAGTATACGTGCATTATATCGGGACAAAATTGAGTGAATATTGCGACGTTCGATAAATCGAATAAAAAAGTAGACGTGAAGTAATCTGCTTAAGAAACTTATCTGTAGTTGTACTTTCCTTGCTATATACGTGAGTTTATAATTGTCATATTTTGTTGTCACAAAAAATTAAAGAAGACTAAGTGTCGTTCTTTACAAACGTCGTTTTGTAACAAATCTTATATTTTACAATCACAAAATGATTTTTAAAAAGATAATATCTCCTAACGCCTTTTACAGGGTTAAACAATTAGGTAAGTAAAATTTCGAATGTGGAAAGATATCTAAATTGTTCCGATTTACATAATCATGATTTACTATTTTTAATGACATTGATATAACCTTAACCACAAAAATCATTTCACATCTGCAATCATTGTTATATTCTTTGATTCAGTGTATTATGATAAAAGATAAAATGCAAGATGTATGCATAATATAAAATAAAAATATAATTATGTCATTCTTTTTGATTTATTAGTATTATAAGATTATAGTATGATCATAATATTATTTTTTTTCTCAAAGTAGTTAGTACATTGTGATATAAATTTTATTACTTTCATTTTTACAGAATCTCTTTCAAAAATTAATCTTTTTGCAAATTCTTGCAAACTGCCTCAATTTGGTAGAACATCTACTAGTCTTGCCAATGGTAAACAATGTGTAAATTCTGGTATAATTAACAATAGAAGTAATTATGTGGCAAAGGTAATAATATTATTAAATTTAAGTATTCATAATATATTAACTTTTCATAATATATGTTTTACTTTATTTGTGGATAGTTCCCAACAAATGTCATGTTAGGTACTCAAATAAGCCGCAAGGCAACTACAACTACAGGCGATCATGTACGTATGTGGGTCTTAGAGAGAATTGTTGCAGTAGCACTTCCAGCTGTAATACCTGCTGCAATCTATTGTGAAAATGCAATTCTTGATGGTATATTGTCCGTATTAGTTGTAATGCATACACATTGGTAATTATACACCTTGACATTTATTGTTAATTTTGTACTTTATATTATAAACCATAATTTTGCATATTTCATATGTTTATGAATTCAATATTTGTTCCTAAATTTATCATGTTGTATCTTGTATTAAATAGGGGTTTCGAAGCCATTATAACCGACTATGCACGTCCTAGTGTTGTTGGACCAGTATTACCAAAAGTTCTGCACTTTTCATTGCTTGTACTCTCAGCAGTTACACTATGTGGATTATTTGTACTCATAAATAATGGTCCTGGAGTTTCAAGAGCTATTAAAGATGCCTGGGCAATTGGCAAACAATCTCCAAGTAAAAAATCTTCTCCAGCTGCTACTGAATAATTCTCCAACCTTTTATTAGATGATTAATATATTAATTTAGATGTTCCCAAAGTTTACTTCTTGTAAATTATTAAAAAATAAATTGTCTTTAAGTAGTGTTTTGTGTTACTTAAATAATAATTATAAAAATTTTAATAGTATAACAAATGTTAATTAATTTTATAAGTAGTTTCAACTCAACCACATATATTTATTTGCATAAATTGTATAACAAAATAAGTACAGTATTTCTATATTATTTATATAAATTTTAAATAATTATACAAATATTATTTAAACATTGAAATTATTTTCAAAGTACAATATAGCTTAGGTTTTAGTTTGCTCCTACAACCTTGTCTATAAAAGATGCCAGCTTGATATCCCTTTGTGATAAACCATTTACATCGTGCGAAGACAAAGTAATGTTTACCTTATTATAAACATTAAACCATTCAGGATGATGATCCATTTTTTCTGCTTGCAATGCAACTTTAGTCATAAAACCAAATGCCTATAAACATAGGTTTGTGACAAGTATATCAATTATTCATAATATTATAAATATAATATGAAAAACTGTTTTTAAGATATAACATACCTCATTAAAATTTTTAAATAAAAACTCCTTGTAGATAGCATCTCTGTGTTCTTGAATAGACCAACCATTTGATAACAATGGTTTTAAATCCTTTTCTCGTTCTCCCTGACTAAGTTTTCCCTAAAATAAAATATTTATTAAGTGTTAAATTTTAACTCAAGCTTCTATTTAAAATATTTTACCTATAAATTTATGTAAATTCTAATAAAAAAATTAAATGTAGTATAATCACTAAAATATATTGTTACTTAGAGAAATCTTAATTAAAAAATTTTTAAGTAAAAAATAATGATATCGCTAACGTGATTGTTAGATCAATACGATCTGGAATTATTTCGACCGCATTTTATATTATAACATATGATACGGAAATACATTCCCGATATAAAAAAAAAATATTTTTATTTCTCGATTGAAAATCATGTAAAAACTACTTTTACGTGACATTAATATTTTCATTATCATTATAAAAGAATAATTTATACAAAAGATCTCTTAAAATCTCAACCACTTGTTACACCCAAAGACATTCAATATCATGTATATATGTATTATATACGTTACATATTATTAACGTATCTGAAGTAGAAAAAGTCGCTAAACAGAGTTAATAATTAATTTTAACAATAATAATAAGTCAAAATTTATATAAGTTACTTGATAGTCGCAGGATAATTATTACATTTTTAATTGTTATAATGTTTAAATAGGTCAAATATTTTACTTTTCACATATTGTAAGCAATTATAATGCATTTCTTAATATTTCATTCTATAAATATATTACAATAGTCTTACCATTTTTACTCTTTTCAAAGTTGGAGTAGATATTCCTCTTTGGTTGAAAATATGGAATACTTTTTCCTGGAAGATCTCCCCACCGTTTATAAGTCGCATGCGCGTTAACATCGACATAGCTTTATGCTTCTTTTTTCCTTAATTATTTCGAAATATTGTATGTATCACAAAATTGAATAATATTTCACTATTACACAATAAGTTGTTATTAAGAATATTTTTGTTATAAATTATCTAGTAAAAAGTTTTTAATATAAATCCATCATATTATATTATTACGTGTTTAATTATTTTAATCTCTACATAATTAATTAAGTCTACATAAATTATTCAAATTATTTAAAACCGTAACTTGTTTTAATAGATCGTAAATATAACCTTAGCACTGAAATGACCACTTTTCCTACAATAAGAAAGCTATGAAGTATATTCAATATTATTATAATATATAATCAATGGTATTGGTAATTTTAGTATTGAGTAGATTATATTTATACAATTATTATAATTTGTTTTAAATTGCTATACAAGTTAATTTCTTGTATACAAAACATCTATCTTGACGGGTTAAGAAAGGCGGCATATTTAAAATGAACGTGAGATACTTTTTGTTTTCCATATATTTACTAAACCTTTATTTTCCATATTTTAAGTAAGTCAACATGTATTTTATCGATTAAATATTTTTGTCAATTTTTATAATTTGAAACATCCAATTTTTTGGTTAAATATACTTTCACAACTTGATACTTAATACTTAAGAATCATATTTATTAAAAAATAAATAGACTAATGTAATAAAAATAAATAGACTAATACTTCATAATATTAAGTATTATAAAAAAGACTTGTAATTTATTAATTGAACAAATCTAAGCCTAAAATACATCTCATATATGTACCGATATATGTATATTCATATATATATATATAAAATAAATATAAATATTTATATATATATATATATATAAAATACATCTCATATATTCACGAAAAGTTAAAAATTAAAAGTTATATATATATTTAAATCTGAATTATACGTTTTATGATTTAATTATCCAATTTATTGATTACATCACGTCTGCAATGAAGATATTAAATCGCAAGAGCCTCGATGTCTGTATTTTAGTAATTCTTTTTCATTGCTCCCTTTAGGAGTACCGTTTCATACAAGGACTTTCATCCTTGCACGTGCTTCTCCTCCACGATGCTTGCGATTACGAACCTTTTACTGTCTCTTCGTTGCGTTACCACACTTTTACATTCACATTCGTGAAACAAGGAGCGTTACGTTCAACGCGTTAATCTATTAAAATCTCAAAACTCTTATCAACCAGCATGAATAAATTAAAAAACTACTGATTACTCGTACAAGTTATGTACTTAGGAGTCACGTTTCTCTCATTTATTTCAATTAAAGAAAGATCATATTTCATGTTTCTCAACTTTTACGAATCATCAGTTAATTCCTGTCTATTGCTTTACCTTAAACAATTGACGTTATTTATGAAATAACAGTAAAATTTGATGAATATTTCCAAAATTAAGATCTTCAATCTCGTTAGAACCATAAGAAACCACATATACATTAATTTGCCCTTATTTTCGATAAGAAAGTAGAAAAGCAGAAAGGTAAAATTTCTAACGATGTTTTGCCACGTAAGTTTATTATCATTTTGGGAACGAAGAACGCAGATGATAGTGCTAGTTAAAGCTCGACATACAATTCACACGTATGTTCAGTTATCAATCGAAACGTCTGATCTTCGATCAATGAATTTCATTTCTCTTATTCGTGTCAGCATCGATGCGATCCGTGATCGGGTAACTGGCTACCGCTCAGATTTACTCTCTCCTGTCACGGATATCCAGTCGCTAACTATTCCACCGTCGTCTATGCGGCAACGTTGTTAACATCGTATATTTGTGCAATATATTTTCAGATTGGACTGCATCCTAGAGCCAGCCCGTGCACGTTATCCTGTCCACGGATGAAAAATAAGGTTGCGCAGCCCTTTCGCTCAGATGTTGGCGCATCTAACGACGCGATGCTACCGTTTCTTTCACACGCGTCGTGT